CTATCTATCTATCTATCTATCTATCTATCTATCTGTCTGTCTGTCTGTCTGTCTGTCTGTCTGTCTGTCTGTCTGTCTGTCTGTCTGTCTGACAACTAAATAATATATTAATAAATAAACCTTAACAAAAGTAAAAAAAAAAATGGAAAAAACTTTTATCCAACACTTTTTTGTGATAACATAACTTAACGGGACAGTTCACTTTCAATTTCAACAGCAACCTGTTGAAATTGAACCGTTTAAATAGCCTAGTAGCGAGGGACGTCACATCGCTGTCAAGTTTTTTTCATTGGCTCAGAACAACGTTGGTCAGAAACTCCTCTACTTCCCTTTTCAGCTGGGTGGTAAACTAGAATTTAGACTGAAAAACAAAATGTGAGAGCAAGACATGTCTGAAGTGTGGATATTAACCATTTATATTCTGCTCGAAATACAACATGCTTGGGCAGGTGAGTGAGAAATACATTTTAATTTGAAATTGTTCCTAGTTTTACTAGTTTTAGGAACAATTTATGTAGTTTTGGATATCCATGATTGCCATTTTTATGGCAGGCCATTTTGACATTTATTAGCTTGACTGAATATATATTCCAGATGTGTCAAATACATTTCTTCGTAGTCAAAATGAACATTTCCGATATCTAAAATAACATTCCTCCGATCTAAAATAAACATTTCAGATATCTGAAATGTAATTCTTACTAGGACAAATGACGTCACTATTGATGCAATGTATGGATACGTATGATTTGGCCATTTTGGAGCACCTCATCCAGGAAGTTGTTATTCCAGCTTCCTAACACCAACGTAATATTTGTCTCTCTGGACTTAATAAAATGGAGGCATAGTCACAACTTCTGCTTTTGACAGACTTTCTGAGGAAGCTTCTCGGGCAAGATGCTGTCTGTCTCAAATCCTGTGGCTGTGGATAAACTCATTTTCTTTACTTTCGATTCTGGCATTAGATTTTCACCAAGCGCCATTACTGCTTTTAGATCCATTTATTTCAGATAGGAGTAATGTAATTTCAGATATCTGAAAATAACTGTACAATACACATCATTGGAGGACAGTTAGATCATTTATACTTGTACGAATTACATTTCAAATATCTGAAATGTTTATTTTAGATAGGAGGAATATTATTAAAGATATCTGAAATACATATCCGGTAAATCAAATATATGTTAAAAACGCCACTTAAAATAAGTAAAGATTTGTAGATATCTGAAATGTAGTTCTTACTAGTACAAATTTGATTCCAGAGTACTTAAAATTTAATTGTACTGGTAGAAATGTAATTAGTTATATCTAAAATGCAATTCTGACAAGGAATATTGTAACTGTGACTAGGTCGAGTGCTTTAGTACTATGTATAATAGAAATGTGACTAGTCAGCCTGCCTATTATATGTTAAAATGGAGTCCCGTTATTCTTTTGAAAATTAGTCTAAATATTATTGTAAGTATCTAAAACCGCATTTTATTTTGACAATATTAAAATGTAGATATCTGAAAGTCCAATTTAACTAGTCATATAGCTGATATCTGTAATGACAGTTCTACTACTTAAAAATGTCAATACAGCCACTTTAAATTTAAAAAGAGTTTTAAGTTTCTCAAAGTTTATTCTTGCTAGTACAATCATATTTTTTGCATCCTGAAATTTAATTTTTTTATGTAGGATATATATATTTAAAGTTCTGACTAGTAGGAATGTATTTTTGATCAGGAATAATCTTATTTTACAGATCAACAAATTAAACAAAAAACAGGACAGCACTTTTAAGAAATGTCAAAACGTTCTGCCATACAGTGAACGTCTGCAAATTGCAACACTGGAAGAAAATACACAAGAAAAAATGTAACAGTGTCACAAGACATTTTTGTACTGTCATCAGAATCCTCTTATGTGTATGCCATCTCAAGTTATCTTAAATTGCTGTTCCTGCAACATTTTGAGGAATTTCCCAAAGCCTATATACCAAAATACTCAATGAAGTTTATTTATTGAAAAAAACTATTTTCTCAATAAATCAAAGAGATCCTGATAAAGGAATTTCACTTTGATTAAGCTGTATCATTAAATAGATAATGCCTACACTAACATTTATTCTATCAATGGAAAAAAATATTAAACTAGCAATAAACCAAAGAGTATTGTAGAACTATAAAACTCAGAGCACATTTAAAATAACCCCTCTTGATCATAATACAGCTCTTAATTTAGAAAATAATTCTTACATTTATTTTTGGTCAATATGTTAGCCTTAAAATAGGTCTATAACTGAAATCTAAGGCAGTGTTTTTCATCCCTGGTCCTCAAGGCACCCTGCCCTGCATGTTTTAGATGTTTCCCAGCTTCCACACACCTGTTATCAATTGATAGCAGATTATCAGGCTTTGCTGAATTGCAATCATCTGAAGCAGGTGTGCTGAAGCTCAGAAAGCAAGTAAAGCTGTAGGTGAAATCGTTTTGACTTTTTAGAAAAGGCAAAGAAGAATGAACAATCTAGGATTCACATGGAAAATAACATAATATAGTGTACTTTTTCTAGGTGTTTAATAATTTGCACAATTGCTCTTAAATTAACACATTCTCAGAGAATAAATTGTTTTATATATTAAAAATTATAAAGCTAAAAAATAGCTTCTCCATTATTAAAGTAATTAAAGTAAACCTGTACATGAAATTATTTTTTGTTTTTTATAAATTGTTTTTATAATGTTTTTTGTTGCTGGCATTCATACTGTATATACTGGTCTGATAACTTAGTATACTTTTCACTGGTTTTAGGTATATGTCTATTTTGAATTTATAGCCCCCTGGAGAAAACTCAGCTAGCCGCCACTGCAGATTCTCTATGGGGTTCAGGTCAGGAGATTTGGCAGGCCAATTGTTCACAGTGATACCATGGGTCAGTAAACCATTTTACCAGTGGTTTTGGCACTGTGAGGAGGTTCCAGGTCGTGCTGAAAAATGAAATCTTTATCTCCATACAGCTTTTCAGCATATGGAAGCATGAAGTGCTCCAAAATATCCTGATAGCTAGCTGCGTTGACCCCACCCTTGATAAAACGCAGTGGACCAACACCAGCAGCTTACATGGCACCCCAGACCATCACTGACTGTGGCTACTTGACTATGCACTTCTGGCATTTTGGCATTTCCTTCTCCCCAGTCTTCCTCCAGACTCTGGCACCTTGATTTCCAAATGACATG